ATATAGTATAGGGTGTATTTTATACTTTTAAAATACTATATGGTTAACTTTAACAATTACACTTTTAATCAATTAAAAGGTTAACCTAAACTTTTATGGATTTATTAAACCTCTTTTAATTATACTCCTTAATTAATTAATAAAACCATAAGGGTGTGATTTGAACTTTTCAAAACATTACTAGGGTTTTAGAATTTAACATTTCTAATTAAACCTTTAATCAACTTTTAAATTCCAAAACTTGAGGGCAAGTTTTGAAACCTTTTTCAAAACATTAGGGTTTTAACTATTTAAATTTTAAAACTCCAAAACTTTTAGGTTCAAATTTAAACTATAAAACCTAAAGGGGAAAATATGAAACCTTTCATAACAACAAGGATCAAATAACAAATAATTTTAAATTAACATTTAATCACATAATTATCCATATTTGATTTATTTAATGATTTCTTGCAAAACAATTTATCAATTTACTCAAAATAATTAATCAATTATCTTATAAGGAAACAATTATCTTGTTAATTGATAACTATCTTTAATTAGATCAAGAATATAGTCATATATATCATAAAATCGGATTTATATTGATCTAACATGATAAGGTAACTATCCAAATGCAAAAACAGCAAGAAATCCCGAGATAAGCATTATCTGACGCTCGAACTCGCCGAGTACCACACTGTACTCGCCGAGTTGAGGACTACTCGCCGAGTACACTGTGGTACTCGCCGAGTTCCTCAGCCATAAAGCCCAAAAAACGATTTTCCAGTTATACAATGCATTAATACAATTGAAACCAAGCTAGGCTTTGATACCACTGTTGGGTTTTAGTCATAAGACATCCTATGTGCTCATACAAACCCTAATGCTTGGATCTAGGTTTCTCTATTGTACATGCTTTGAATCCAAGACTATAAACCCTAATTCTAACATATGGAAATTGACATTAACATATAATTAGGTTTAAGAACATACCTTGATTGTTATGTAGCAATAACAATCCCAATTCCTCCTTGAATTGGCTTTGGAAGGCTTAGAGTCACAAGTGTCACTCCTCTAATGGCTTACAAACACCATAAGCAAGTGGAGAAGGTATAAAGAGAGAGGTGAGAGGTTAGAATTCGTATCTAGGACCTCTTGGGAAGGGATACACGAATTCATGACCCTAAGGGTGTTTATATAGGTGTAGAGATAGGGTTTCAGTCATTATCCTTATCTAGTTGATTATCCATTAAGCAACCAATAAGATAATCCTTGAATCCTTATCATACTCGAATTCTAAGGCTTTCCAACCTTAAATTCGTCCACCATATAAATAAGATAATCCTTACCTTATTTTGTAACTATCACATAATTACAAATCAGCCCCTCTAGTTTAATTAATTACATTTGATCACAAAACTAATTCTTAATTAATTATTGACCAATATTAATTAAACAAATATGATTTCTCCTTTAATATATTATTCCTATAACATATTAATAAATCATATTATCCTTTCTCTCTTTATTCATTTCTCCAATCAAGTTGCTTTGGTGAAGGCAACCCAAAAGGACCATGCACCATCGGGTCAAGTACATACCAAAATAGTTATGGACTTAGACACTAATCCAACAGATCGTGCTCCTTAATCTGTAACAGCCAATAACTGGTTCATGTGGTAGTGCTCTGAGGATCTACATTGTCGCCTGAGAGCGTTACATTTGCACCATAGTGGAAGACGCCTCTGACGAGGCTGAGCCTTTCTCTGCGAGCGCCCTGCTCTTAGGGGCGTTAGGTTCTGTTGGGCTTGGCGTACTGGGCGCAACATGCCCTGGGGTATTCTCTGGCGCGACCGGGTGTGGCTTCTTTGTGCGCGTTAGGGCACGTCATCATTGTCCATTTCTACCATTGCAAACTTGAAAACTTGCGATTTTAGTCAGTTACACAAGATATTTTAAGGTAAAAGTAAACCAAGAATGACTTCCCAAATGTGTTGCTCTTGTGGCCAACCATCGCTTTATTCATACCCTAAGACCCAAAGGTATACCCTTTATTTTTCTATGTCATATCAGTTTTTCATTTACTCAGCTTTCATTCACCAAAACCTAGAAAATTATCGTTTTCACTACCTTTTATTTATTTATTATTTTTTAAAATATATTTTATACAAATATTATACTTGTTTTGTAGGTAATTAAAAATCATAATTTTAATATATTTTTTAATAATTTTTTAGTATATATATATAATTTAATAAATATTTAAAAACTACAAAAAACCTTTAAGCTATTATCCAATTAAGAGGTGAAAGAGAACGTGAAAAGGATATCACACACATCTGAATCGCATGGCCTAAACTACACCTAGGGTGTAATGTTCCTGGGTGCGGTTCCGCTTCCTTTCACCCACCCCACCAGTATTGTAACGACCCAAAATTCAAGACAAAAAATTTCTTTTAATAAAACTTTACTTAAAGCAAAATCATTAATCCAAAACATAAACAGAGTATCAATTTCCAAACACATGTTCGTTATCAGAGTAAAACATTCCCAGGCTGTCTAATCAATGGTGTGTGCCATGCGATCACCCCGAGCTCTTCCCTCCGCTACCGGAAGTACCTAAAACCAAAATTGAAAACCGTAAGCACGAAGCTTAGTGAGTTCCCCACCCTACCACATACCATGCAATCACATACTGCACATACTGGGCCACGCCCGCTATCTTGGGCCTCGTCCCCTGCCTCGGGCCTTGCCCGCTACAACGGCCCCGCCGCTCCAGGCCCGCCTGGCTTCGAGCCCCGCTCGGATACAGATCTGTTTCACTTAGGCCTCGCCTGTCACAGGGCCTCGCCCGCCAACAAATAATAACACATAAATATATCACAACACATAAGCTAAACTCATACGATTGATCCTGTCCTAAGGCCTCGCCTATCCTGGGCCTCACACCTGTCCTGCTACTGATGAGTCATGGAACCCCATCCACACTCCTAATGGTAGTGATATACGGGCCCAGCCCACTCTCACTCCTTCCCTAACTTGGGCCTCGCCCCTGTTCTGCTACTAATGAGATGTGGAACACCATCCACACTCTGCTATTGGTGAGATACGGGACCTCACCCACACTCACTTCCCTACCAAGCACATACATGCATCACACAGACAACAAGTATAAACTATCATGTAAACAAATCCTTGGGCACCCGCCCGCTAATAATGGACCTCGTCCTGAATATCATACTAGCATAATGTGCCTAGGGCTAACCCCCGGGCCTCCTACTCATAACTACAGGGGTCGGCATTGTGGCCTTAGACCCATTCACACAAAGGGAAACTCGCCTGCACTGCTGAACTTGCTGATGATCTCACTAGCTGCTGCCCGACAACTCTCTGAACTCCTGCTCCCCTTGCTCCCCAAACTACCAATATCAATGCAACACTGAGTCTAACTGACCCCCGAGAGACAACCAAGTCAACTCTGGTCAAAGTCAAAGTCTTGGTCAAAGTCAACCTTCCAGCTCAACCCTACTCGCCGAGTCACCCTACTGACTCGCCGAGTTCATATGTTCAGAGTCCTTCCATTCGCGTCTCGACTCACCGAGTCAGTCCATGACTCGCCGAGTTTACTGATTTCTGAGTCCCGACCTGTCCAACTCACCGAGTCTCCACTCGACTCACTGATTCGAGTCTCAACTCGAAGGGTTTGGGGTTTCGCGACCTGACTCGCCGAGTCCAAGAACAGACTCGCTGAGTACAAGGCAATCTTCATCTGACTCGACGAGCTGTTCATCCCACTCGTCGAGTTGCTCCTGCTCTTCATGCTACTCGCCGAGTCCACTCAAAGGACTCGCTGAGTCCATTCAGATCTCCTTACATGCAGAGGACTTTTAAGTCATGCATGGACTCCAAACTGTAGATCTACCCTTCCCAAGCCTATTCCTCACGTAAATTTGCAAACTTTACGTGTAGAGAAGGAGATCTAGGCAAAATACACCATAAACTAAGGTTTAAGGCAAAGAGGCTCCATAATCAACTCAAGGGCTGATACTTTATGCTCTCAAGACCATAATATGCTTAGATCCGAAGTAGCAACTTCAGATTTGGCTTCTAACTCAAAAGGGGTAGCTAATCATGGCTAGAAAACCCCCAAAACTCACAACCATGTTAGATCTAAAGGAGAGAACGACTTAATACCTTCAATAACTCAGAAATTTTCCCCAAATCTTTAGATCTAAGGCCAATCCTTGAAGCTTCAATGATTCCCCTTCTTCTTCTTCCTTCAAATCACCCCAAAAATGGTTTGGAAGCTTGAATGAGCAACAATGGGGCTTAGGGTTTGATGTTCTGGGTGAAAGAGGCAGTAAAGGAACCCTAAGGGAGAGAATGAGACGTTTAAATAGGCTCCAAGTCCCGAATTTAGGGTTTTCCTCGCACAGACCAGACTCGCCGAGTCCCCTTGGCCGACTCGCCGAGTCGGTCACTTACTCCTCGACCCGAATCCCACTCGGACTCGCCGAGTTCCTCCTTGGACTCGTCAAGCCGCCCTTTAAAATTAGGGTTTTCTTTCCTTTCTTGGCCTTCTAGACTTCAGGTGTTACAGGTATGGGTATTGTTATTCCTATACTAGATTTTATTATCCTATCCCTGTAATTATAAACTTGTTGGTAGTTGATTTTTATATTATTCATTTAATTGCAACTTTTTAAGAATTTAAAATTTCTTAACCAATACATGTTTATCTTTATATAAAAGACGAGTTCAGTATAACTTTAACTTCTTTCATTGAAAAAAGTATTATGTAAAGTCCAATGTTTCTTTGAAAAATGTATTTTTTTTTTCTAAAAATACTACAATGTACCATTGCAACCTACAATTACTTTAAAAAATGAAACACATTAATTCACTTAATCAAACAAGAAATTACAATACTTGTATATAAACAAGTAAAATAATAATAATTAAGTAATATATTAACCAAAAATAAAAATAAAAACCGGTCATGACTTCCCGGAATCATTATGCTCAACCACCACCGGCAATTTACTGCCACCACTAACCACCGCCATCTTTGCCGGAGAAGAGAGGAATACAGACCGAGAAGAGAGGAAAAAGAAAATCCGACTAAGACTAACAACCACAATCGTCTCCAGAGAAGAGAACAAACGTCATGACTACAATCGCCGAAGAATAGAGAAAACTCCATTGCCACTGTCGTCAGAAAGGATACGAAATGTCACAAATCGCCGAAAAGTCCCATCTCTCATCGTTGGAGGCCATCTGAAGTGTGAAATCGCATGAAGTGTTGCCATAAATCACGTGAACCACTGTCATTACTTCGCTGGATATCGCTTTAAACTCACCGGAAATCGCCTCTCGTTATCTCTGGAGGCCGCTTATATTTATTCGGGTTAATTGAAAAGTAAGGATTTTATACCCTTTAAAACTTAGGTTCAGAGCCTATTTAATTTGCAGAAATTTCATTTTTTACCCTTTAGTTTTAGGGGATTGATTTTTTCATGTGATTTTTGTTTCCTCAGAATTCATATGAATTGTCAATATTGCCCCTAATTCATATGAAACCATCAATATTAATTTAATACTTAATTTCTTTTTTCTTTTTTGATATTTTAATACATCAACTCTATTCTTTTTAAGAGGTGTTATAAATATATTCATTAAATAAAACTATTATAAAATTAGTCACTTAGTAAAAAACTACAACGTATATAAAGGTTGGGCGATTTAATGTTAGACTCTTCAAACTGTGGTTGCAAATTTCGTAAAAGTTGTGGGTTATCATGTGATTGCATGCTTTCTTTCTACTAGGTTAGTATGTTTAGTTACAACATACAAATAGATTTTTAAATATTAGATAAATAACTATTTTATATTTCAATGCAGGTGAAAATATACCCTTGGATTCGATAGATATCTTTTGGAGGAAACTTGATATTTCAGATACGACGTCTGTAGTAGACGACGATATTAATTGCGATGATGTAGTGGATAAATTTAAAGAAAACTTCAAAAAACAATCAAAAGCCGGGAAAATGTTTTATAAGAGAAAGCTAGAAGAGATATATGACCCGTATAAAACTGATGTTAGAGAACCTATGGTTCAAAAAGAAAAAAAAAACACGCATGGACGACCAAGTGTGAAGAAACAACAGAAAAAGAAAGCCAATCCTCCAAATCATGCTCCTCGTAGATGCAACTTCTCAACCACATCAGAGTTTAATGGAGTGAATTTTAATAAAGAACCTGAAAGACATAGCTTTTCGTGTGGGACTGACTTAAATGATGAACCCCAAAGACATAGCTTTTCGTGTAAGATTGACTTAAATGATGAACCCCCAAAGCATTATCCATTCCAAATGAATTGTATTCCAGATATATTTCATGACTACATCGACGATATACAGGATGTAGAAGGTGATGGAATCGTGGGTTTCAATCGGTAGCTGTTTGTTTGGGTTATAATGAAGACCAGTGGCTTTATATTTGAAAACAATTGCTTGAAGAGTTAGAGAGTCAATATTACGCATACCATAGAGTTTTTACTGACGGGTTCAATGAGGTATACCAATCATTGTGTTGGTTCGAGTCACCTACACCTTTCCGACAACATTAGTTGCATATGCCTTTGACTGGTTACTTGATTGCCAACAAGTTTGGCGTGATCGTTCATTGTTTAAGCCACAAACAATCTATGACATGCTTCCCTCTTTGGTGAGGTCCCGAAGAGTTCCAACCCCACCGAGTCATTACGTTGGCACTTGTAAACGATATTCATTATATTTCGGTGTTTTTGAAAGGAAATTACCCAATGTCTCCTACCACAACATATTGGAATGCCCATAAAAATCTGTCTACATCTACATGACAAACTATGTATTGGCTGCGTTTTGAGTCACAATATTATTTTATATTTGAACTTTTATTATTATTTGTTGCATTAAAATATTACTTTATCATTGTTGTGTTGTGTTGTGTGTTTTTTTTTTTAATTGAATAAAAATATTTACATATCTTTTATAAAAATAGTATTATAAATCATCTATTTAATAAATAAAAATATGCCATGATAATCTAATTATTAAAAAACAATTATTAGGGGTAAAAAGCTAAGGATATATTTTGTAAGCTTAATAAAAATAAAAGAGCTAGAATTAAGATGAAAATAATATCTTGATAAAAATACGAATAATAATATTATCCATATATTTTCTTTAATCTCTTTCACGTTTTTTATTAATTTATTATATATTAAAAAACTATTAATAATAATTATGTAATCATAATTTAATCATTAAAACAATTAAAAATAGTAATGATTAGTAAAGAAAAGTAAAATAATTAGTAAAAACAATTATTAGAAAAATTATTAGAGAGTAAAAATAAATAGACATAAGATAGGAATAAATGAAACTCAACACTGTACCATTCAACCTAAAGTTAGGCCTCTCACGAGCCATGAGTAAGGTTTTATTATAGTCTAAAGCCACTCTCGACTCCAGAAAGGCATAGTTCAAATGTCCTCTCATCAACTTCAATAGCAAAAAGGATTAAAAATAGTTAGTTATTGGTTGACTTTTGATAAAGATGTCTATAAGATGTTTAAAGGGTGTCTTAATAGCAACACCCATAAAACTTTTGTACAAAGTCAAAACAATTATTTTAACATCTCATCAGGGGCGGATTTAGGGGTGGTTCAGGGTGGCACCGGCAACCCCTAACTTTTTCAGTCGCAGTGGAAAAAATTTCAAAATTTTTATTTTTCCTACTATTGTGCAACCCCTGTCTTTCTCATGCAACCCCTACCGTGAAATCTTGCGTTCGTTCCTGCATCTCAGGTTATGATTATGACAAACAATATGCTATCATTATTAGAAAGTTTGATAATCTTAGTTTTAGGTTAATTTGGTGAAAAGAAGCTTAAAAAAAAATTAAACAAGAAATCTAAGACTTTTAGCTTGATTTTGTGAAGCATGTTAATTTCCAACTATAAAAAAAGGTGTAGATCAAAGCCCATGATAGTACCAAGATGCAGTTAGATTACGTGTCGCGTATAATTTTAATGTGATTGTGTTTTATAAACTTTTAGCTTAATTTGAAATTTTAGTAATTTTAAAGTGATTGTGTTTTATAAACTTTTAATCAATCTTGGTGATTTCAAGTGTTCTAATGGGATACCATAAATCAGATTAAAAATTAAAAATTAAAACCGATTCAAATTAAAAATTAAAAAAAACATTAAAACCGATTCAAATTAAAAATTAAAAAAAAAAAAAAATACTCAAATTGGGATACCATAAATCAGAATGTCATTTTTTACTTTTCTTTTTTCCATTCACTCTTTGAATTCTTAAATTATTTTATTGATTTTGATTAACGTCAAATGTTTTTTTTCATCCAGGTTGTTCAATAAGGTCAACACACGAGATGCATATTCATTTCTAGATCAATGTATGCATCTTCATTATAATCAAATCTTATTGGCCTCAAGAACCTGTCAAATAATCGATGAGATTCATTAAGGTTGACTTAGATAGATTAATAAAAAAAGTCAATAAATAATTTATCATATCCAATATAAATAAATAACTGAAATAAATATATATAGTCAAATTGAACGGTTTTTATGAATTTGGCATAAATAAAAGTATAAAACCATAGTTGTTGAAAAGAGAATTTAATTAAAGTTTCAAAGATAGTGGGGGTGAAATGCCAAACCCACAAAAGTAAAAGTCATTTTTGTAATTTTTCTTTCAAACTCGAAGAATCATAATGTTGCACACGCCTAGTTAATGACGACGCCCCTCTTCATCTACGATCGGTTTTGATATCCAAAATTAACCAAAAAAATCTGTAAATTTTGACTCAGTTCCGTTGAATTTTCGACTCTCATCGAATTCTTGAGGTAATTGGATGTGTTAATCTCTACTTTACTTTAACTAATTTCAGTCACTTGATTACTGTCTATGTTTGTATTAGGGTTTACTAAAACCTAAGATCATCAGTGATCCAGCTGATTTACATTTTTATTATTGATCCTCATTAAATCGAGTTGCTCTCCTAATCCTTTTCGTTTAGGGTTTGCTGAAATACATGATCGTTAGGACCTTGCGAGAAATCGAGCTGCGTGTGTAGCTGCTTTTGGGAGTTGGGAAGATGGTGTTGGTATTGGCAATTGGGGATTTACATATTCCACATAGAGCACCTGATCTACCTGCCAAGTTCAAATCTATGCTTGTTCCTGGCAAGATTCAACACATCATTTGCACCGGTAATCTCTGTATCAAAGTAAGTCAATAATTCGCTTATACACTACTTTTCTACAAACAATTAATGGTTTATCAAGACGTGATTGGTTTCCTGAGTATATTAGTTTAGTTTAAGGCTTTAAGGGATCATCCAAATGCGATTTGTTCCTTGACCAATGAACATTTCTTTCTGGTTTATGTGTCCATGAACAAACAGGAAGTTCATGATTATTTGAAAAGCCTATGCCCAAGTTTACACATCACTCGAGGTGAATATGATGAAGATGCTCGTTACCCAGAGACCAAAACACTCACCATTGGCCAATTCAAGCTTGGATTATGTCATGGTCATCAGGTTAGTTAGTGATTACACATTAACCCATTATGTTATGATTTAGATGGGTAAGTAGTTAATGATATGTGATTATACATACTCTGAAATGAAATTAGGTTGTTCCATGGGGGGATTTGGATTCATTAGCCATGCTTCAAAGACAATTAGATGTGGACATTTTGGTTAGTGGTCATACTCATCAGTTCAAGGCTTATAAACATGAGGCTGGTGTGGTTATTAACCCTGGTTCAGCCACTGGTGCATACAGCAGCATCACTTATGATGTGAACCCGAGTTTTGTTCTTATGGACATTGATGGCTTACGTGTTGTTGTTTATGTTTATGAACTCATTGATGGAGAAGTGAAGGTTGACAAGATTGATTTCAAGAAAACATCCACAGCTACTACATGATGATGATAATAATAATAATAATAATACTAAGATTGTTCATCTTTTGTTCCTTTTAATATGCTAACTTTATTAGGCTCTTTCTTGTCTTTTAAGGTTTTCAAACCTTGTTTTTACGTTTGGTGTATGTGATCTATTTCTTGTTTGTTTTGTCATGTAAGGAAGTTTATTTGCCTTTTTTTTCGTATCTTTTTACTGTTTTTATTGATATGGTTTCGTTTTTATGTTTTGCTTGAGTGATTACTTACAAATGTTTCATTTTGTAAATTTGTATGCAGATTATAATGTTCAGTTATGGTATATCCTTGTTTATAATTGTTTTTGAAATTAGAGTAAACTACAGAAATGGTCTCTGTGGTATAGTAGAAACTACAATTTTAGTCCAGGTTTGCATTTCGTTACATTGGTAATCCTTTTTGTCTAACACCCGTAGAAAGCAAAGTAGACAGTAAAATAATTTATGTAAAATGCCGACTTTACCATTTTTATTGCGTTATTTTTTTATTAATATATAATAATAGAAAGGTAAAATTGTCATTTCAGATGGCTTTAACATTTGATTTCTAACGGTGTTAGACAAAAAAAAAAAACTCACAACAAAATGAAAACGAAACGGATTATCGATTTAACAAAATGCAAACTTGGACTAAGATTGTAATTCTTACTATACAACAAGGACAATTCTGTAATTTACTCTTTAAATTAACAAAATGCAAACTTGGACTAAGATTGTAATTCTTACTATACAACAAGGACAATTCTGTAATTTACTCTTTAAATTATTAGATATGTTGTGACTGAATATGGTGAATTAATCTGAATATATGTTATATAAATATCTTTTATTTAAATAATTCATGAGTTGGCACTTTTGGGCGTTATAACATCTATCAATCTTTTTCCACTAAACAATAATTCAAGACTAAATGGTTATTTAGTATCATTACAAATGATCATCTACACTAAAATGGAACGTACTTTCAATTTCGTCTTTATTATTGCAAATATACTTTGGATTTCACTCTAAGGTTGTTAAGTGTTTTATGCCCGATTACTTTTTCCTTCCATTCCATTTTTTTTACCAGTGATAGCTTATTTTATTTCCTTATTTTTATTAGTTTATTTTAGTTTTTTAGATCTTTTTATCATTAATGCATTGTATTTTATTTTATTTTCTTTAGTTTGGATCGTACCGGGTGCTTGTTATGTTGCATAAGATATTTTGTAGGTTTTTCGGTGCTTGTTGCGGTTGCGGGTTGATCGGAGACGGGCTTAGTGGGCTCCCGAGGCATTATTGGGCTTGGCGGAATCAAAGAGGATGAATTGGGCCTTGAAAGATATTGGCTTGGATTATTTGGGCTTGTGAAGATGGATCATAAAATTCAAATTTTGGGCTTGGAGCATCCATTTGGTGGCTAAATGATGATTGGTGCATTTCAAATTACAGGGAAAAGGAGGGGGGGACCAAAGGAATCTTTGGTAGTGGAAGGGTGTAGTGGCTTGGTGGACCAATAGCATTACAGCAACATTTGCGCGGGTGGAATTTCCGTCGCGCGGGTACCCGCGCAACTGCCCAGTTTGGGCATTTTGGTCATTTGGCTTGCCTTAACCCTTGGGGATCAGATCTGGAGGCTCATTCACGTTTTTTCCACCATTAGAGACCTGCAAGAGGCGATTTTGGGAGCAAAAGTTCATTTCCTTTCATCTTTCCAAATCTTAGGTAGTTTCTTTATGCAATTAGATTATTGTTCTTGTTTCTTTGTTGCCATGAGTGGCTAATACTCTTATTTGGTTAATTTTGGCTGAAAACCAATGAATGTTTGTGGGTTTTGAAGGATTTATGTTGATTATTAATTTATTCCATGTTTATGATTCTAGTTTGCAATTCTATGCTTATTTGATACTTTGATCATGAGCTTAGTATTTGATTGAGCAATAGTTGATTTATTTCATTGATTTTGCATTGGATCATTGAATTTATCTAGAACAAAGGCTTTATGATGGTAGAAATCATCTCTAGCTTGTGAATCATATCTCCTTTATGGATGTGTAAGCATTTGACATCCTCTAGGAATTGGGGATTCCTTCATTCTTAAAGCTAATTGATTTCTTGGGATTAATTGCTTCAATTGACCCTTGATCTTAATTAAGAAGGTGTGTTGTGGGCTTCCCCAACCTCCATACTATCTATGAGGAATCTTGGCATATCATGCTTCATGATTGCTATAACCAATTTGGGATGAAAGATAAGCTTTGTATTAGATCCTAATGATAAACACACAAATGTTCATTGTGTTGAATTGCCTTAGTTAACCAATTATTCACAACCTTTGAGCATCTCATCAACTTGCTTAATTGCAAGGTTTTTAGTTATTCAAGTATTTTAGTTATCAAGTAATCAAACACCCCCTTTTTATTTTAATTGTAGTTAGTTAGTTTAATTTCACTAGTTCTATTAAATTGCATTGGTGATTGAATACAACCATTTCCCCGAGGATCGATACCCCTTTTTACCATTATATTACGTTTAGTTAGCAATCAAAGGGTGTAATTTGCTTGGTGGGCTTGACATCCCGACCAAGTTTTGGCGCCGTTGCCGGGGAAATTGGTTTTTGTTATTTGATTGTTTATGCCTAGGTCTACAAGAACCGGTGAACTACTCTACAATCCGGAAATTGAAAGAGAAGCAAAAAGGTTGAAAAAGTTAGCCAAACAAGCAAAGCAACAACAACTAGTTCAAGCTTCTTCCTCTTCTCCACTAATCAACATAGAAGATCAAGTTCATACTTCAAGTGATACCGACACCGAACCAAGTTCTCCAATTGTTGGTCATTCCTTTGAAGACATTCCATTTGAAAACCACATAGCCATGAATCACACTCCACCTCATAATCCCAACCCAAACCCAATCAACCAAGATGCCAATACCCCACCCCATCAACCAAGACAACAACCACAAGAACCTCTCATTGATATGCCACCTTGGAATCAAGCCCCTCCTCAAAACCAACCCAATTATCAACCACAACCACAATTACAAAACCAACACCTCCACCAAAACAACCAACCTCAAAACAATGCTTTTCAAGTTCAACAAGTACATTACCCAAATCAACCTAATTACCAACCCCCTCCAATGTACCAAAACCCAATGTACCCACAACAACAACCTCCTTACAACCAATACCCTAACTACCAACCTTATCCACCACCAATCTACAATCCCAACAATACCCATATCCACCTACCAACAACCACCCAATTACTTGCAACAATACCCCAATCTACCTAATCCACCCAATCCTCCTCAAGAGTTGACACTTAGACAAATGATGGAAACGGATGTTACTCATACACCTCTTGCAATTGTTTATCCCGCAAACCGCCGAGGGATTGAATTGAAGTCAAGTTTCATCCATCAACTTACCAAGTTCCATGGGTTGGATAGAGAAGATCCTCAAAAGCATTTGAAGTCCTTTCATATGATATGTGTTAGCATGTTGCCCGACAATGTGACATTGGATGATTTCAAGTTAACCGCATTCCCGCTCACCTTGGAAGACAAAGCTAGAGAGTGGTTATTCAACTTACCACCGGGATCTATTCACACATGGGAAGAGTTACTCAAGGCCTTCAATAGCAAATTCTATCCCACCTCCCGGATATCAAGCCAACGAAGTGACATTTTGGGGATTCATCAAGGGGAAAATGAAACATTTCATGATTTTTGGGAGCGCTTCAACAATTTGTGTACAAGTTGTCCTCAACACAATATACCCGAACAACTACTTCTTCAACAATTTTATGAGGGTATGAATGAAAAAGATCGGAGGATGATTGATGCTTCAAGTGGTGGTGACATCTTCAACAAAACCCCTCACGAGATCCGATTACTTTTTGGTACCATTTCTCAAAATCAAAGGAATTTTGGGACTCGAAATGACATGAAGAGAAATTCTACACAAGTGGTTGGTGAAGTTAGCAACACTCAACATTTGGAATCAAAGCTCTTGGATTTGACTAATGTGTTAAGTCAAATGGTGGTGGGAAGTGGTCAACAATTGATGGTATGCGGTATTTGTGCAATGACGGGTCATTATACGGATAAGTGTCCCACACTTGGAAGTGAACCGGAAGATGTGAATGCAATGGGCGGGTATCAAAGTCAATCAAGACCAATGGGATTTCAAAATAATTTCAACCCCAATTGGAGGAATACCCAAAACAACCCTTATCCACCAAAGCAAAATCCACCAAATCTTTTGATGAGACCCCAACATCCACAATACCAATCCCAAAAACCTCCATATCCACAAAATTCTTATAACCCTCCACATTACCAACACCCTCCACAACAAGGTCAATCAAGTGGTAACCATCAAATGAGCCTTCAAGAACTTGTTACTTCTCTTGCTCAAAGTCAAACTCAATTTCAACAAGAAACCAAGAATACTTTCTCCAACATTCAAGCACAAATTGGAGACTTGGCAACCGCTCTCAACAAGATAGAACAAAGGGGAAAACTTCCATCTCAAACCGAGAAGAACCCCAATGTGAATGCCATTACCTTACGAAGTGGGAAAACACTTGGAGAAAGTCAACCTAAAAGAGTTTCAAGAGAAGAAGAAGATGAAGTGATCATAGTGGACCCTCCAAAAGTTGTGATTCCTCCAAAAGAACCGGTTGTGCCAAATATTGATCAACCCGACCCTTCCAACAAATCCATCAAACCATTGGTCATACCACCACCTTTTCCATCCCGTTTGGCTTCCTCAAAGAAACAAGAAGAAGAGCAAGCGTTTCTCGAGACTTTCCGCAAGGTTCAACTCAACATTTCACTCTTGGATGCCATTAAGCAAATCCCACGTTACGCCAAATTTCTTAAGGATTTGTGCACCAACAAGAGAAAATTCAAGACAACTGAGAAGATTCAAGTAAATGCAAATGTATCCGCGGTCATCCAAAAGAAGCTTCCACCCAAATGCAAAGACCCGGGGATGTTTGCTATACCTTGTACCATTGGTGATTTACATGTTGAAAGTGCCATGCTAGATCTTGGAGCCTCAATCAACGTCATGCCATACTCGGTTTTTCAATCTCTCAATGTTGGACCTTTGGAAGAAACCGGAGTCATTATTCAATTAGCGGACAAGTCAAGTGTATTTCCAAGAGGCATGTTGGAGGATGTACTCGTTCAAGTTAATCAACTAGTATTTCCCGCGGATTTCTATGTCATTGATCTTGAAGAAAAGACTCCTTCCAAGTCATCTATGATTCTCCTTGGAAGACCCTTCATGAATAC